TTATTCTCACAGATCTTGAAGCCAAAAGTCCAAAATTAAGGTGTGGACTGGATCGGTTCCACCTGGAGACTTGGGGGGTCGGGGGTCTCTCTCCTGCCTCTCCCGGCTTCTGGTGGCTCTCACAGTCCTTGGGGTTTCTCGGCCTGTGGATATGTCACCTGACCTCTGCCCCCATCGTCTGTGGCCTTCCGCCTTCTGTGTGTGTCTGTGTCCCTAATCTCATTCTCTTTTCTCTTGTCACTGGGTTTAGGGTTCACCCTGAATCATGGATGACCTCATCTTAAGATCCTTATCTTAATTACATCTGCAAAGGCCTTGTTTCCAAATAAGGTCATGGTCACAGCTTCCAGGGTTCAGGTCCTAGAAGTGTCTTCTGGGGGAGTCTCCAGGTCCCGTACCACAGGCAGCTCCGGCTGTACCGGCCTGGGCCCTGCCGCTCGCTCACACTGCCTGTGTCTTCCTGAACACTCTCCTCCCCTGCTTGGCCCAGGCCGCAGAAGGCTGAAGGTCCGTGCAGCCTGCGGCGTTCGGGGCTTTTTCTCAGCTCCCCAAAAGGAGAAGTTGAGTTGTTTTGAGATTAGGGTGTCACTGGTTGCCCGCCCCCCACCTCCAGGCACGGGTTGCAGCCTCACTGTGCAATTCTGACCAGAAAACAGGAAGGGGGCGTTATGGAAAGCCAGGTCCAGTCAGCTGACGTGTCCGCCCGCTGCAGTTAACTGTGACTGTCACTGTTTCACAGGACCTGGGGACAGCAGGAGCCGTGGGCCTCCTCCAGCTGGGAGGCCACAGGCCCTTTGTACCTACAGAAGTGGGATGTTTGCCTGGACCGTGGTCTCAGCAGGGCCACGAGCTGTGCAGGGTGCTCTGTGCGCACTGGGGTCCATTGCCAGTTGTGGCACCTCTTGCCAACCTGATGGCTCCAGTTAAAGCAGCCTGTGGCATCATGCTGGCTCCCCCACAAAGATGCCCCCAAAACTCCCTTCTCCTTCCCCTGTGGCCCCGTGGCAGCACTCTGCTGGCCTCCTCTGGCCAAGGCCAGGCTGGGCCCCCTCACCCCGTCCTGGGTGCTCCTATGCTCCTGGCCTTGGACAGTGAGCCCGGAGCTTGATTCTGAAAGCAGAAATGAAATAAGGATGCTCGGTCACTGGACTGCTTCCCAGGGGTCCAGGCCTCCGTTGAACCACCGGGGCCTGGCCCACGCTGGGAGAGGAGGCTGAGAGACGGTGCCAGTGACACACTGCTCGGCACCAGAGAGGAGAGGCCAGCCAGGCCCACCCGGCTCCCCACTGGGGCCTCAGTCCAGGGAAGGGCTCTGGAGCTTGCTGCTGCCCTGGACCTGCTTCTGAAGACCCCAGATGAGCCTGTCGTGGGACGAACTAGGAGTTATGCCCAGCCCGACCCTGACCCCAGCCTCCTTGGAGACGTCACGAACTCCTCCTCGAGTGACTCTAGACTCCCCCGGCCCCTCTACCAACCTGGCGTTGCCTCTGTTCCCACCACCCACAGCAGCAGGCCGGGCCCATCTGGGCAGGTGACCCAGACCACAGTGTCATCCTCATCTTGTCCTTGGCTCTCAGGTCACCTGCCCAGGCCATGTCCCCGTCTCTGAACCTTTTGGGCCAGATATGGACAGGCTTGCGCCATCTCTGCTTCCTTATCCTCGCACAGGCGCACTGACCACCCCCGACAGCGGGGAACTAAAGCACACGGGCGGCCCTCCACCAGGGTGAGGGGCAGGTCTGGAGCGGCGGGGTGCTGCCTGGGTCTCGGCGCTGCGGCTGGGCTGAGAGCTTCATTGAGGCGCAGGGTTCTGTGACTGCTGTGGATTGGATGTGGTTTGAGTTTGTCCCCTGGAGGTTCCTGTGTTGGAAGCCTGGTCCCCAGGGTGGCAGTATTGGGAGATGGTGGGTCCTTGAAGAGGTTGGGTGGTGGGAATTGTTAGATCACAGGGTACTGCCCTGGCGGAGCACGGGCAGCTGGTCTTTCTCTGGCTTCTGGTTTGGCGGTGTGATTGTTGTCCCACCCATGCAATTCCGCCATGATGCGGGACAGCCAGTGGCCCTCCCCAGAGCAGAGCGTGGCATACCATGCCCCTGAACCTCTAGACTGGGAGCCAGACAGGCCTGTTCGCTGCGTAAAGGCGTTTGCTACAAGGCAGACTAATACACGGCATCTGATGCACTTGGTGTTGGCATCCTCCGGGACCCTTGTCTAGGTCCAGGACATCTTCACCCCCAGGGGAGACTCCATCCGTAAGCAGCCGCTCCCATCCCCCTCCCACCTCTTCCAGCCTCTTTCTGCCATCTCTGCGTCGGCCTGTTCTGGACGTTTCCTGTAAGTGGGGTGGTGCCTCCTGTGCCCTCTTGCACTGTGGTTTCCAGGCTCATTCCCCTTGTAGCCGGTCAGCGCCCATCGTGTGGCTGGACCACGTTGGTTCCTCTGCTCACCAGTGGGGTCCACACTTCACTGCTCTGCTTTGGCCCAGCCCCCTCCCTTCCTCAGGCAGGCCAACATCCACACTTCAGTGTCCCCTGCCAGAGCAGTGTCCTGGGGCCAGGGTGGTTCTCATGAGGGTGATCCTGCTGACCCTCATGGAGGAGGAGAGCTGGGCCCCCGCCAGCAGCCTGTTGTGTACGAGCTCAGGGCTGGAGCCGCCCGGCCGCAGGACAGGGACTAGTAAACACCTGGGCATGACTGGGATGGACTTCTGCAGGTGCCGCTGAGCCTGCCAAGGGACCCCAGCTCAGGGAGCTGTGGGGACAGCAGGCCCAGAAGGTGACAGGAGCCTTTGCTCACAGCTCCCTGGAAGGAAGGCATCAGAGCCAGCGGGAAAGGGGGGCCTGGGAGCAGCCAGCTCTGCACTGAGCCAGAGCGCAGTCAGACGGAGACCGAGGCGAGGCCCAGAGATGACTGCGGGGTTTGGGATTCGGAGGCTGGTCGGGGAGCTTTGTCTGAGGAGCTGACAGGGTGTCCAAGGCAGAATTGAGCACTGGGAGCTCAAAAGATTCCCCAGGCCCCCGAATCTGGCTTTCAAGGTTATCTGGTCATATGACCTGGCAGGGGCCACAGGGCGGGGGGGCGGGGGTAAGCTTGGATACCTGCCAGGTAGCATGTGCCCTCCCCTCGCCTGTCAACCATGAGAGGAGCTGAGTTTGCCAGGAGAAATCAGTGCGGACAGGGAGGGGCACGTGCCAAAAACAGGCCTCCTGAGACCCCCTTCAGAGCAGATGAGACCAGGCTCTGGATGGGGACAGGAGCAGAAGTCACTAGCATCTCAAGCCAGCAGAGAGACCCATGTGTTTGTGTTTGGCATCCAGTGATGCGAGAGGCAGGCTGGAGCCTCGATTTCAGGCCCTTCTGTCTCCCAGGTCTGAAAGCCCAACCCAGAGTCGCCCTGGCTGGTGTCCGCCACACGTGAACACGGAGCTCGCTGCCAGGAGCTCAGCAGACAGCTGGGTGGGGGGGAGCTGGGCAGAGGAGGTGGCAGAATCAGAACTCTCAGAAGACCCATCCCTACCTCACCAGTGTTCAGTGCTCAAACTGGGTGACTGAGTGGTCATCTATGTGGACATTGGGGTCACAAATTCATAGGGACAGGAGAATGGGAGGCAGAAATGGGGATCCCAGGAGAACAAGCATGGGTGGGAGATAGAGGGTGCAGGGGTGAAGAGAGAGCTCACTGTGGCCTGGATCTCCTGGGAGCCCCAGATGTAAGCGGATCCCTGGGAGGCAGCGGGAGGGACACGGTGAGTAGAATCTCTGGCTGCTGCTCTTTCCCCATGGCCTCCCCAGGATGTTTGCGTGAAGGTAGGGGAGCAGTTTATGGGGATCAACAGCAGCCCAAGGAGGGTAGGATCCAGGGCAGGAGGTAGGCAGGGCAGGGCAATCCCCACAGGGACAAGAAGTAGCTCAGCCCCTGGATGGGGTTGACATCAGACCTCATGGAAATTCTTGGGGTCAAAGGTCACACTTCCTGTCCTAACCTAAGTTCCCAGCCTTGGCTCTGTTGGCAGATTTGAGGGCAGGATCATTCTCTGTAAAGGGGGATGGGGTTCTGTCCTGAGCACTCTGGGGCCTTGGGCACCATCTCCAATCCCTGCCTGCTGGGTACCAGAGCACCCCCATCACCAATTGAGACGATCAAAAATGTCTCCAGATGCTAAGTGTCCCCTGAGGAGCATGACCACCCCAATTAAAAAACACTGCTTTAGATCAGCTCTTTGAAAAGAATGATTTTAGTATTACTGAATTCTCTGCCTAGATCTTTTCAAATTACAATGTTTGTTGGCAACATCATGCCTTAGAATCACACATCAGCCGACTGTATTCAGCACCTCTGTGAGGTGGCTGTGGGGTGGAGGAGAAGTGGGGTGCCAGCATTGTCATTCAGGAGGTGGCTGGTGCTGCTTTGTGCCCCCTGACCAGCCAGACAGGAGGACATCAGTTGTACCTGGTACCAGGACTTGATCTTCCCCCTAAAGGTAAGAGTCTGTTCCTCCAGGTTGACTTGAGGCTCATCTTAAGAGTATTGTTTTAAAAGTTTCATGTCAAAAGTTGCATTTGGGGACCTCTAGCACTGAGAAGTGATGTATTCCCAGCAAGTTTTCTTGCAAAGAAGTGTGCAGTAGTTCCCCTTGTCCATGATTTTGATTTCTGCAGTGTCCGTTACCTATGGTTAACTGTGGTTCAAAAATACTAAATGGAAAATTCCAGAAAAAAACAATCCAGTTGGGCACAGTGACGAATGCCTATAATCTCAGTCACTTGGAAGGCTGAGGTGGGAGGGTGGCAAGTTGGAGACCAGCCTCAGCAACTTAGTGAGACTGTGTCTCACAAAATTAAAATGGCCAGGCGCAGTGGCACACACCTGTGATCCCAATGGCTCTGGAGGCTGAGGCAGGAGGAATGCAAGTTCAAAGCCAGCTTCAGCAACTTAGAGAGGCCTTAAGTGACTTAGCAAGACCCTGTCTCAAAATTAAAAATAAAAAGGCCTGAGGATGTGGCTCAGGGGTTGAGTGCCCCTCGGTTCAGTCCTGTGTACCTGAAAGAGAAAAAGCAATTAAAATATTTTAAATTCCCCACTGTTCTGAGTAGCATGATGAAATCTCCCACTGTCTCACCTCGCAGGGCGTTGTCCAGCGTGTCACGCTCTGTACTGTGTGTGCGTAGGGGTCGGTTACTGTCCACGTTGCTGGCATCCTGGGGGCCTTGAAATGATCCCCGTCCCAGGGGTCCACGCGCTTCAGCAGTTCTGATGCAGTTGGCACTGGCTCCGTGTGGGCTGGCTCTTCCCTCCCTTCCTCCTCCAGGTGACATCTTGAACCCGTGCCAGATGTCGGCCGTGGTTCATGTCTCCTTTAAGCATGTCCCCAAAGGGAACACACCAGGAGCTGCTGCCGGGGAACGAGTCTCATTCTCAGTGTCCAGAGAGCCCCACCATGGCAGAGCTTCATGTTATCAAGTTTGCTTTTTTGTCTGCTTTTATCAAGTGACTCTTGGTTTGTTTTTAGCATCTTTTCTTAGTTTGGTGTTCCATTTCTTTCTGCACAGATCAAGGGTTGGCAAATTGCAGTTCCCAGGAGGAATCTGCCCGCACCTGTTTCCACAAATAAAGTTTTATTGGCACACAGCCACGAACACACATTGACATGTTGTCTCTGGCGGCTTTCTCCTTGCCAGACTGCAACGGAGGAATTGCAACAGAGACACCATCTGGCCAGCAAAGCCAAAAGCCGTCACTCCCTGGTCCTTCGTAGGAAGACCTGCTGACCTCTGGTGCCCTCTGCCCAGGTACCCCTGGTCCTGTGGTCCAGGTTCCACATTCACAGAACCTACTGTGGATTTAAATATTTGAGGGAAAAAATGGCTTTGGGGGCTCAGGAGTAGAGCTGGGTGGTGACGTGCTTGCCCAGCCTGTGTGAGGCCCTGGGTCCCATGCCCAGCGCTAGGGCGTCTGTGTTGACCACATACAGACTTTTCCTTGTCGTTGCTCCCAAACAATAGAGTACACAGCTGTCTGCAGGGCGTCCCACTGTGCTAGGTATCGTGAGTCCTCTCTGGGTGAGCTGAGGTCGACGGGGGCACATGCATAGGTGGACCTCGGTATCCGACCGTCACGTGTCCCAAGACCTTTCCTCAAGAGGAGCCTAGGAGCACAGGAGGGCTCAGAGGTGGCACTGACCATACAGGCCTGAAAGGCACAGCCCACTTGGTGCTCCATGTCCCTCCTGTGTGGGCTGCCTTTCTGGCCTGCTGCTTGAAAGGGCAGAGCCCTGATGTTCTGGAATGATCTCAGGCCATTTTAGACCAAAGGGGAAGTTATATTTTTGGGAATGCCGCATCTAAGACAAGAGTGAAATTATAGGGTGTATTTTAAGCACCCAAAAAGGTCTCCTTGGAAATTGGAGAAAGATTTGGTTAAAAACCAAAGCACAGGTCTTGGGACACCCCTGCCACAGCCGCCACACCTGACTCGGTGTTTCGGGGGTTTGTTGCACTAGGCTTAAGGTGACTAGGGCCCATCTGTTCATCTGCCCACAACACCTGCCTCACTTTGGGGTTGAAGTATGGCCCAGCATCGTGTTGACCACAGAGCCCGGTGGCTGACTTGCTTCCTAGTGATCACCCACCGTGGAGCGGTGGCAGGAGCAGTCACAGTAGACCCACCCTGGGTAGCCCAGGCCCCAGCAGCCCTTTGGAGCTGCTGGCCAGAGCCAGCCCCTGACACCAGGCCCTGGAGACACCAGCTCCCTGGGTCCCCCCAGAGGGGACTGTCTTTGGGAAGCTCAGCATCACCCACCCAGCCTATGACCAACCTGTCACCCCTTACAGGGAGAGTGGGTGACAGCAGGCTGTGCTTTGTAAACAGCATGTTCAGGGTTCCACGCAGCTGACTTCTGAGCCAAGCCAAGGCTGTGGGTCTCACCAGCAGATCCTGCCCCAGGGACGTTTGGCTACATTGAAAGACGGTTTTGATCTTCATATCTGGGGAGGGATGTAACTGGCACTCCCGGTGCGTGGAAGCCAGGGGTGGAGTACAGCGTGACGCAGCCCAAGTGTCAGCATGGTTATCAGTGTGTGTCCACGACTCTGCCCCCGAGGCTTCCGCCGATGTTCAGGGTAGAGTTGCATCTGCTGAATCCATGCTGATGTTTTTCTTTTTGGTTTATCAGGTTTTAGAAGTCATCCAGAGATGATTTAAAGCCTGTGGGAGGGTGTGCACAAGCAGGTTCTCTGCAAATAAGGTGCCATTTTATAGAAGGAACAAGCATCCTTGAATTTTTATTTCCTCAGGGGGGTCCTAGAGCCAGTCCCCTGCAGATACTGAGGGATGACAGTGCCCAACTTGCAATTTTAGAGCAAATACAGCCACAGACTCTGTGTGTGTGTGTGTGTGTGTGTGTGTGTGTGTCTATGTATTAATGAAGCTATTTATCAACAACAGACAGAGGGAAAGAGATGTCAGATAAACCCAAACTGAAGGACATTCATTCTACAGAGTACCCACCAGTCCTCAGAATGGTCAGTCTCCACATGAATGGACACAGGAAATATGATGGAAAGCGAGAGAGCATGAACAATGGATGGATGTGGGGCTTATACAGTGGAGTATCACCCAGCCCTAAAAAAGGACATCCTGTCATTTGTGACATGGTTGAACTGGGCGGACGTTGTGTTAAGTGAAATAAGCCAGGCACAGAAGGACAAATACCACACGTCACTCGTGTGTGGAATCTAAAACAGTCTCACACCCAGGCAGAGGGAGGAGGAAATGGGGAGAAGTTGGTCCCAAGGCACGAGCTTCAGTCACCTAGGATGAATAGATAAGTTCTGGAGACCCAGCCCACAGCACGGGCCTCTGTGCCCTAGAATTTGCCAAGTGTGCTCACCACCAGAAAAGGAGAAGGTGATGCTGACTGTCAGGTGACATGTGTGTTAACTAGCTTGGTGGTGGCCGTCATCTCAGTGCCTGCGTATATCAGAACACCAGGTTGTACGCGGCAAATGTACCCCGCTGATTTCTGAGGCATCTCGGGTGGAACCCAGGACCTCACACGGGCCAAGCATGCACTGTGCCACGGAGCTGAGCCCCCAGGCCCTGTGTAGTTCTTATTTGTGAATTACACCTCAATAAAGCTGTTAAAACCTCATACCTGGCCTCCCGCGCTGACCAGGCCGGCTCTGCACCAACTGTGCGGGAAGAGGAGGCAGAGGGAGCCCCGCACGCCTCAGCCCGGCCCTGGTCCCGTCGGCCGTGTGACCAGGGAAACATGTCCAGCAAGGTCTCAAGGACGAGGAAAGTCTGAGAGACTGTCACCATGTAGTTCAGGAACCTCTGGAGATGTGACCACCAAATAAAACACAGGATCCTGAGTGTCCAGAAAAAGGACATTAGGGGAGAGTGAGGAAGCGGGTGGGTGTCAGTGTAGATCTGGGTGAAGAACAGGGTGTCCTTCGGGTGAGGTGCTGTGGCAGGCAGACCTGCCCGTTAACCACGGGGAAGGCCGAGCGCAGCTCGTATTTCTGGACTTGACTGCAAATCTAAAACTACCCCACACCAAACCAGGAGCCGTCCTGCCTGTGTCCCAGCCGTTCAGGAGACGGGCAGGAGGATCGTTTGAGGCCAGCCTGGGCAACAGCAAGATCCGGTCTCAAAAACACTGTTGTACAATTAAATGTTTATTCAAAAAATGGGGAGTGGGCAGAAGGCCCCACGTGGCCTCTGTGGTGTGGTCTGTGGAACCCCTGGCCCCTCAGCCTCATGTCCACCTCCCTCTCCCGCCTCCCCATTTCAGTGGGCAGCGCCAGCTCCAGAGTCTCCATCCCTTTCCTCCGCCACCCAAGGGCCCACCGTCTCCATAGCCTCTTGATTATTTCTGTGAAATGCTTCGCCACTTGGGCCACTGGTGGTGTGAACAGGTGGCAGTGCTGGGGAGCTCGAGGTGGGTTGAATGCCAGCCTGCTGTCAGGCCCATGTGGGAAGATGGTCACCCGCGCGCCAGGAGGAGGGCTTGGTGGAGCCAGGCTGCAACCTGACGCGGTCTCCCCATCTACCCCGTGGGCAGGAGAGCTCCCGCTTCCCAGGGCTGTAAGGATTCCAAGCAAGGGGCCAGGGCTGGCACGACAACCTCTCCTGCTCCCTCCTACCTCTGGCCACGTCCTCAGGCCTGGCTGTGCTTCCTTCGCCCTTCAACTTGACTGCACTCTAGTTAGGTGGCAGGTGGGATGGGGTATGGGACCTGAGGTGTGGCAGACACAGGCAAAGCCCTGGAACCTCACACTTTCCCATCTGATGTTGCTAAATGTCAGGAAAGCAATCAGAATACAGCGAATACAGGTGCACCTCAGCTCACCATGCGGTTACATCCTGGGAAACCCTCGTGGGTTGAAAGTATTATAAGTTGAAAATGCAGGGCTGGGGTGGTGGCTCAGAGGGAGAGCGCTCACCTAGCATGCGTGAGGCACTGGGTTCGATCCTCAGCACCACAGAAATGTAAACAAAGATATTGTGCCCACCTATAACTAAAAAATATTTTTTTAAAAAAAGAAAATGCATTTAATACACCACCTATTTTATCAGTCAGCTTTCTGTCACTGTGACAAATACCTGAGATAATCAGAATATAAAGAGAAAAGGTTTGTTTGGGCTCACAGTGTTGGCGGTTCTAGTTCGTGATCAGTTGGCCTTGCTGCCTTTAGGCCATGTATCATGGAGGAGGTGTGTGGCAGGGCAGTCCAAGAAGTGAGAGAAGAAGGAAAGATCTAGGGTCCTCAGTCCCATTCAAAGTCTTGCCCCAGGTGACCCAGAGACCTCCCGCCAGGCCCCATCTCCTAAAGGTTCCATCTCCAAAGAGCACCTCACTGGAAAAAGTCTCTGACACAAGGGCCTTTGGGGGCACGTAAGATCTAAATCAGCATCTGCCACACCTCCTGGCCGAGCCGGAAGCGTCCCTTGGCCCACTAAAGCATTAAATAATCCCGCGTAATTTCTTGAACACTAAGCATGAAAAGCAGAATGGTCACACGGGTCTGTCACAAAGCACCATGAAGCCACAAAGCATAGCCGTTGTCAGGTGGGGCTGTCTCTGTGAAGAACAGAGCTCCGTGTCCCACCCTGCGCTTGACTGTCCCTTCACCATGTCCCAAGTGTGACGCTTAAGGAAACGGGAGGGAATGGCAGTCGACCTGGTCTTGCTTTACTCCTTCCCAGAGCCTCCTTGTCTTCCTAATACACCATCAGCCCCAGAGCCCCAGAGCAAGTTCCTCACCCTCTGGCGATCAGGAATCCCCGGGTTCTTTTTTAGGAATTTAGATTCCCGGGACTGGGGGTGTGGCTCAGTGGTCGAGCCTAGCACGTGCAATGCCCTGGGTTCTGTCCCCAGCACCACATCAAAGATGGCCTTTCTGGGAATTCTGCAGGTCTGGGATGGAGCCCAGGGTTCCTTTCACAAGTCTCTACAGGCCAAACTTGGATTCTCAACTTTCTCTCCCTTGCCCCATCCTACCAGAAGAACACAGGAGTGGTCACAGGCCAGGGGTGGGAGGCAGGGGCAGGCCGAAAGCTTGGCAGTTCTGACCCTTTGCTCACTGCTGTAAGTGGGGGAGCCCCGAGAGGATAGGTTGCTGATCCCAGGGATTTAGAGCAGGCCCAGGGGAGCCCCTGCCCTAGGTGTGCAGAGGTAGTAGCACCTCGCAGAAGGTGCGGGGTGCTCTAGGGTGCCTTTCCTTATATGTGCAGAGACTCAGTTTTACTGCGTAGAAAGTACAAGAAGTCTTGGCAATTGTTGCCGTGGGCATCTGGGTCCATACAGTTGAGGAATTGTGTAGGGAACCTTGCCCCGGGAGCTGACCGCTTGCAGAAGGAGCCTCCACTTAAACTCCCCTCCTGCCCAGCCTGAGGCTGGCTTCTCCTCCGTGCAAATGAGCTGCAAAGCCAGGCTGAGAATTTTACAGATGGTGCGGGATTTCTGGAAATCATCAGAAGTGAACTGGAGGCAGAGGATGCTCCTGGGGTGACAGAGCGCTGGCCTGGCACGCACAAGGCCCCGGGTGCCGTCCCCAGCACTGCAAATAACAATAGTGATGATCCCTGCGTCAGGTCACGGAGAAAGCAACTAGAAGTTTGAAAGTGAAGCTGCTCTCACAACACTGCAGTAGAGCAGAAATGAATGTTTAAAGACCCTTCCACATGGAAAATTCTGTAAGTCAACTTCTGTTAAACACGTTTTGGACAAAGGGAAATGAACTCTAGGATTTGGTTTTAGAAATCACAGATTTCTGGTGACAACAAGATGGCGGCGTCAGGGACGGCTCGCCGGCCCTGCGTGGGAGTCCCTGAGAGCTAGGATCTAGACTAGAACTATGAGCTCACCTCTGGCCTCCCTTAGCAAGACCCGGAAAGTGCCCCTGCAGTCGGAACCCGTGAATCCTGGAAGGCGAAGGCGAGGGATAAGAATCTGTGGAGATGCAGATGAGGTGGATACCAAACGATGGACCCGGCTCTGAAGAACAGATCTCTGTCCCTTGCTGCTACAGCAACAAACTTGCTTCTGTGAGCAGGCCAGGTCCCCCATGCCATGACTCAGATCTGGCGAGGAAGATGCAAGGACTGGAGCCGCAGCTGAAAGCCCAGAGTGATGAGACGGTGTCCCAGGATCAGAGGATCCTGGCCCTGGAGGACCTGGTGCAGCGCCTGCAGCAGAACCAGGGTGAGGTAAGTGGGCAGCGGCAGGAGGAGCTGCAGACCACGTGCACGCAGCCGCAGCGGCAGGTCGGGGAGATGGAGCGGTTCCTCGACGACTGCGGCCTGCAGTGGGTGGGTGAGCCTATGGACCAGGAGGGTTCGGAGGACAAGACGGTCTCAGAGGAGGAAGAGAGGGACCGCATGACGGCCAAGAAGTTCTGGAAGCCAGGCTGGAGATCCGACCCAGGGCCTCCTCTGGCCAAGCCCCTGCCGCCCTTCTTTGGCCTTTTAATTTTCAGTGTGGGAGGGGCCTCGCCTGATCTCCTCCAGATGAAGAAGTCTTCCATTTC